GTGGGGTTTAAAAATTGCTGGGGACAATAAAGTAGGCTAGCTCAGGGGTAGGCACGCCGCGGCTCTGGAGCCGCATGCGGCTCTTCCATCCATCTGATGCGGCTCTCTGTGCTTGTAAAATAATGAATGGATATTTAAATAAAATGCTTTATATTTTACTGCATTAATTTTACATCTGTATGCTAATTCTAAATGTAAAGATTGTCTGCGTAAACCTGAACAGGCCCAACCCGGTCTTACTGTGAGACCGGGTTGACGCGTCACGCTTGTGCGTAATCATATCGGCGCTTCTGAGCTGCTTTCTGACCTTCCCCACCTACAAAGTTTAATTACAACAATCAAACGTGACAGAGCCTGGATTTGTATTCTGAACAGTCTAAACATGTTTTAAAAAGAAACGTATGACAAAAGTGGCACCTGCTCAGTAAAACCACCAACAGGGTGAAAAATACCAAAAACTGAAGGCAGAGACGGGCTACAACTTCTGGATCCACTTTATATAAATCATTTTATTGATTATCGTCTAATGAAAGATAACTTTGACGTACACGAGCGACCAGGCGCGTTGCAAGCTTTTCAAAAGTGTGGGGGACGTTGTCTGTGCCTAAAATAATTCCATGTTATTCATCTTGTTAGTGTATTTTCCATAATAGCGGAGCAGGTGCAGATTTTAGACGCGTCACACATGTCTCCGTTTTAAACATGTTTAAACTGTTCAGAATACAAATCCAGACTCTGTCTCGTTAGACTGGTATAACTAAAGTTTGTGCTGAATGAAACTTTACATTAAACCATGCTGAAAAGAAAAGGATCTGATTAAATAGTTTCCCCCTCATTTACAGTCATGGAGTACAGTGCAGTGCGCACGGCTCTGGGGTTGATCAAGTTTAATTGTAACATTAATGTGTTACTGGACACGCTGGTCTGGTTGGTTAGACCAGTGTTTGAAGTGGAAAACACACACACACACACACACACACACACACACACACACCAATTAAAATAATGCCGATAGCGTGGACTAGAAGCCAGGTGATGGTTTATGTATTTAAATGATGATCAGGCTGCTGTAAAATGTAATCTCCATCCACATCCAGACACAATTATCCTCTATTCTTTCTCTATTTGCTCTGCTCTTGTCTGGGCTGACGTAGCTGACGTAGCTGACGGTGCGCGCGGCGCGCCTAACTAGCGGCTGATGCACATTGTACGCATTTGGAGAGGTGGGCTGGACGCTTTGCTTTTACTGGAAGATGGTCCACTTAACGCACGGGTGTAGACTACATATTAATGACAAATGAATGAAAATTAAATTGTGAGTTTTTACTTCATATTTTAGAAATAAAAATGACGGGGGAAAACATTTATGACGTCTTTTTAAACTAAATTTTCTAGCGCGACCTGCCTGCTTCACTAAGTCACTGCTTATTAAGGTCCGTCCAGAATTACCGTGGCCTACCCAAAAATGAAAACCTGGCGCCGCGCCTATTATAAACCTCTGCAAATTGTTGTTGTTCACTTTATCAAACTCAGACTTTGTACAGCTAATGTCAAGATGTAAAATTATGAATTCAGTCGAGCTCTTCCGTCCCTCCCTCTTCTGCTCTCCTGGAAACCCGACATCGGCTGTTAGAAGCGGAGGTGAAGAAGGAGATGAGGCAAACAGAGTGAGTGCGACATAAAAGAAACCAGACTGGTGTGGAGGTGAGCAAAACAGCTGGAAAAGTGTGGGTGTTGAATCCCCCACGGGTGCGATGCCCCCGGCTGCTGTCACCTGTTGTGAGCAGCGCTCTGCTGTCTGAGGGTAGGCCCCGCCCGCAACGCTGCGGCTGCTGCGGTGTTTTCTTTACCGTGGGAAACGGGTAATAATGGCTCTTTGATGGGAACAGGTTGCCGACCCCTGGTATAAGATCTGAGCTGGTAAAACAAAAATCCTCATCAGCAGGCTTTTTTTAAAGTGGGGGGGACACAGCTGCCAATCACAAATTTTGCCGGGGACATGTCCCCGGCGTCCCCGGTTAAAATGATGCCTATGAACATCTTAGGTGTGTTCTTGCTGTGTCTTTGTAAATCCATGCTTTCGTTCTTTTTTAAACACAGAAACAGTTTTGTTTACCTGTTTGTAGCTACGGTTTCGCCGACAGCTGCTGGCTTCTTCAGGCTGACGCTGATGGTGGCGCGTCACTTCCTCTGTCCTCTGCTGCCCGCAGATAAACGGAGAAGGAAGTGACGCACCACCATCAGCGTCAGCCTGAAGCAGCCGGCAGCTGTCGGCGAAACCGTAGCTACAAACAGGTAAACAAAACTGTTTCTGTGTTTAAAAAAGAACGAAAGCATGGATGATGCCTATGATTTAACCGCAGCACCTCCTGGCTCCAGTTATCTAAAATGCCTTCTATACTTTTTCATTTTGAGGTATTTGAGTATATTTTTTTAACTGAAGTTCATCTTCAGGCAGCAGAGTTTACTTTCTGTTTGCTGAGCTCCTTATCTTAAAGCTGACAAACTATGCTCTGCTGTGCCATCACTGGCAGTTGTTTGCATTAATTGCAAGCTTCTAATATCTCTATAATATATCTGATATTATTCACAGATTAGCTGCCTTACATGCCTGTTTGTCTTTTTACCATTTACATCGATGCAAATTTCACACATGATGGAAACGAGGGACGCAGATGAATGCATAACTAGATGCCTATTACCATTTATGTACGCTTATTATTACTTGTTAATGCCCACCCTGGATAATAAATAGTTTATAAAAAGTCTCAGACATAAATATATATAAATGTTATATTTTCCATCATATGACAAACTAATTATTGCACTTTGAGAAGTATAGTCAAGCACAGCTGCCCAGTTGAAAACATGCTAAGTGTCAAGCCTGATGATTTTAAATTCAGTTAAATTGTTTAAAATAAATCACTCTTATCCATTTCACGCAGCAGAAACTCCTGGATGATTCAATTTAAACTTAAACTTCATTCAGAGTAACTTCATCAGTGCCAGTGCAGAATAATGAACCCAGTGGTCGAGCTGACAGATGTAAGAGAATCGACTTCATCCTCGGAGAAGGTGGAGGTTCTGCGTTTGTGTCTTTACCATTCAGCTCCAGGGCTTACATGTGAAATCAGTAAACTTTTATCGATGGACTTTATTTTCCCTCTTTAGGGATTGTCTTGCCATTGCCAACCACAAACACACGCACACGTGCACAAGTGGCGAATCATGCATCTTTACGTGGTGCACCTAATTCAATAAATCCCAAGTCTATTTTTAGATCTATTTACTATACAAACCTTTCTCAGTGGCCTAGTGGTAGAGTGTCCGCCCTGAGACTGGAAGATCAGGGGTTCAATTCCTGGTCGGGTCATACTAAAGACTTTGAAAAAATGGGACCCAATGCCTCCCTGCTTGACACTCAGCATTAAGGGGTTGGATTGGGGGGTTAAACCACCAAATAGTTCCCGAGCGCGGCTGTGTCTGCAGCTCACCGCTCCCCCAGGGGATGGGTCAAATGCGGAGAACAAATTTCGCACACACACCTGTGTGTGTGACAACTAATGGAACTTTAACTTTAGAAAAACACAACTTTTATTACAGAAAACACTTGTTAAAGCTGAGGTCATTTGTTTGAAATGTTTATAGATTAAATGTAAATGCTTAATGAGACAATGTGTAGTTTTTACCGTTAATCTCTGGAAATATCCATAAAATGTTGTTTAAAATGAATAAAATGATGTCCAGTTGTTGAAAAATATTGGCGGCTTCATAACATATGACCATAAAAATCAGGTCTAAAGTACATAGGGCGCGGGTCTAGCGTCTTTAAGAGACAACATAGTAGATGCCATGTTTTCTTCTGGCCGGCTCGGGTTCCTGCGTTTGTCGATGACATCAAACTAGATGATTGGCTGGATTTATGACTTACAGATGTTATGTTAGCACATTCAAAAACATTTAAGCAGTAAGAAACTTGAATTTAATGACAAAAGTGCTAACCTCTTTCCAAAACCTATGTGAAAGAACAGAATCAAAAAGAGGTGCAATATATTTTGGACGAGCGGTATTGCCGTGTAATGACGACGTCCTCAGCAGGCGCAGGACCCCGAGAAGATCTGGAAACTACAGCGTCGGAAAACTACAATCGGTATTGCATTCTCTCGGTTGAATTAACTGAAGGGCCATCAAAGTCTGAGGAGTCTCACCGAGGTAACAACATTTACTGTACTGTTTTTCTAAACTAGCAACAGTCATGGCGATGTGGTGTAAAACTACCCTGAGATGTATGTACTGCCCCCTGGTGCCAGGAAACTACACACCGCCACTTTAAATTTGACCATCTGACCCCGTAATTTTTAATAATTTACATTTCCTCTTAGTTTGTTCCCTGGCCTCTATGGCAAAAAGAATAATTTAAGCAAGCCAGAGCATTGACCAGATGAGTTGCATATCCACAAGAGGAAGCTGTCATTCAACGAGAGTGTGCCCCAGTCCCCATTATGCAACGAGAAGTGAAGCACTGATGAACACTAACACAGCATGAATGTTAACTTGTGTCAGTCTTTAAACGTCAAACTAACTGTAGAAGAACAGGGAGGGGAACAAAAAGGGATTCATCCTGAAGCTAAGTGGTTAGTGTAGTCTACGCTACATTGGACTACTGTTTTAGCCTGTTTTAGCGTTAACAACAATCTGGAATGGGTCCTGCCAGATGTTCCCCGGCTTGAACGCTGTGGGATTGATTAAAATGAGTGATTTGCAGCTCCTGCAGAACTAGATGCAGGCTCAAGAGACAATCCTGAAGCATGGCTTTCAGCTTCTTCCTGAAGGAGAGGGGAATAGGGGAGGTGCTACTGCCGCTCAGATTTCTAAATCTACTCCTCCTCTACTTAGATAGTTGTAAATCAAGGTAACTTAGATTTTAAGAAAAACAAAAATCTGCTTTTCTTACATTTTTACTGACCTAACCTGATGTAAAATCACGGTTTCTTTCTTACCTGTAAGATACATTTCCTCCCCTTCTTGGAACATCATTTGACAGCGTGCACACTTGGCACAGCTGGGGTGGTAATGCTTCCCTCCAGCCTGCAAATGAAATACAGCAGGAGAAAAAGAACAGTGAAAAGGGAAAGAAATGAGTCGCTAAGAAGCAATAAAAGACAACACAAACTGGAAGATGATAAAAGGGAGAAGATGAGAAACAGAAAACAAAGAGGAAATGGAGACATGCGATAACAGTATTGCTTTGCACGAAGTTTCTACGTCAGTTTAAGGTTCAGTTGTTAAAAGAAAGAGCTTTTAGGGCTAAATAAGACAAATAAACTAAATTATTACAGGGATGAACACATTCAATACTTCCATTTGCTTTATCATTTACACACACACACACACACACACACACACACACACACACACACACACACACACACACACACAAATACACACATACACTCACACACACTGAGTTGGGGAATGGACCGCACACACCCACACAGACACAGAGCTGGCGATAAAACCGGCTGGAGCTACAACTGGAGGGGATGGGGATGATCGAATGCCTACAAACAGAAAACACATAAATGAGGCACAGACAAAGGACACATAAGGGCGCTATGAGACACAAAAGGAAATCTAGAGAGGGATGGAGGACACCAGGAGGCACATGAAGGAAGGGGCAGACGCAGACCATGACACCTAAACCTTAATGTTTTACTATTTATAACCTCCCCCTCACCCTTTTCCTAACCTTAACCCTCTTGCTACCTAAAATGTTACTCTCACTGTAATCAAGCCTTTGTTTCCCATGCTTTCTGACTGTGAATTTGTGTATTTGCCACCCAAGGGGAACGTTGGAACATACCATCTGGTGAGGGGGAGGTTACAAATACCCTCTACTTTTAACCTCCACCTTGGTAGTTGAAACCTCCCCCTCGCATTGCCTCGGTCCAAACCCGACCAATGACGAGGCGGCTCCCGCCGTTCACTTCATAGAGCCAGCTTTTAGAGCGATCAACACATCACTAATGTGTTAGCTAGCAACATGGTTAAGGTTAGGATAGGGGTGAGGGGAAGGTTAAATAACAGGAGGATAAGGTTAGGGTGAGGTACAATGAGCTTGTTTGGTGCCCTGGCTGCGGATATCCCATCGCGTCAGTTTTATGCTGCGTTGGGATCTGCAGTCAGAAAAGGGAAAAACCCCTTGTCACACATAAGTGACGAAAAAGGGCACTTTTGGCATCAGGGGTCTCAAGCAGAGGGTGGCTGACCAAGCGTTTGTTTTTGACGCGCTGGGAGTGAGAATGTGTTGGTCTCCTTGTCTGCATCCCTCCTCATGTGCCTCCTTGTGTTCATTCCTCAGGCCGCGCCAGTTTTTTTTCCCCTTAGGTGTTTCCCCCAGGTTTCAGCGTCCCTGTGTGTCCCCAACCCCCTCCTGGCTCTCTAGTTTTCCGTTACATTTTTCCTTAGACACCTTTTATCATTAGTCTTCTGTTGTGTTTTATCTAGTCTGTTTTCTCCCTCTAGTTCATTTTGCTCCCTTCCCCATTTTTAGGTCTGGTTTCCTCCCCTGCTCCGTTGTGCTCCTCCTCTGTTTATTGGTCTCACCTGTGCACAATTCCCTAATCACCCAGCCCTTGTGTATATAACCCTGTCTGCGTCACAGTGTGGTTGTAGGTCCATTGTTTGTGTCAGCGTTGACACCCCCCCACCCCCCCACCCCCTCCCTTTGGTCTCTAGGATTTTTTGGACTCGAGAAAGCTCTACATCAAATAAAAGCCATTATCTACTTACTAAATGTATATTTATTTATTGGTTTGACATTGATGTCTCAGTTAAAGGAGATTAATCTATGGCTAGTGTAAACACCAATAAGATTTAATAGAGAGAGGAGGTCTTTCCTGGGGGGTCCAGTGGGTTGGCCAGTAATTTTCCTAGTGGGGATCTTGGCCACCCGTTGGGGAAGACACTGCTTGGATAAAATGTGCAGTTTATATCAACTTCCTTCTCCATCCTTGCAATGAGCTCAGTGTGTGCCTCCAGGACAATAAAAGCAATGTGTGGTTCCCGTAATGGGACAAAATACCATAATTGGCCATTTTAAAGCTTTTGTTTTTGTTTATTTGGCATTACATTCCATTATATAAAAAACAATAAATAAGAACGTGAGTTCATAGCAAAGAATTCATACGAAAGACTACATTCTTCTTAGACTAGCTTTGGCTGTGACTTAAGTTTTTAATCAAATTAATCTGACAACTTTATCTCCACCTCGAGAGTACTCAAACAGAGTTCCAACATATCCCAACGTTACTGGCCCCGATATAAAACCTGCAGGCGGTTGTCTTATTCTGATCATAAAAATGGGAACTAGTTAGTCAAAATGTTATGGTTTAAATGCACAAGGAACAAACGCTCTCACCTCCAGCACTCGGCCACTGATGTACCCGTTACAGCTTTCACACCTGATCCCAAACTGAGCGTGGTAGTCAGTCTCACAGTAGGGTACCCCATCTCTGTCACACACAGGAGAAACCTCCTTTTACCTCCAGGCTTTTTGCAGCTTTTCTATTATTAGTCATATTTTCCAAATGTAGAAAAAACAAGTAAGCATCAAATAGTCGTGATTTTCAGAACAGGGGATCAAAGTTACCTAAAAAGTCCTAATAATGTACCGTGCACATAGAGGATTAAGTCACATACTTGCTGATGTATTCTCCAGTGAGAGCACAGCTGCATGTCCCACATATAAAACAAGTGACGTGCCACTGTCGCTCCAAAGCCAGCAGAGACTGACCCTGTTTGATCTCCTCACCGCACCCTGCACAGTCTGAAGGACAGAGCATAGTGAAGTACATTGGCGACATCTGAGACATTTATTCACATGTAAACAATCTGCAGCCTTTCTGACCCCTCACTTCCTTCTTTTTATCATTCCTGCCTGTTGTGACAGGCCCACTGATTCTGCCAGATGGAGACTCCAGGACATGCCTGTCAAGTGTGTGTGTGTGTGTGTGTGTGTGTGTGTGTGTGTGTGTGTGTGTGTGTGTGTGTGTGTGTGTGTGTGTGTGTGTGTGTGTGTGTGTGTGTGTGTGTGTGTGTGTGTGTGTGTGTGTCTGTGTGTGTGTGTGTGTGTGTGATACTCTGCTTTGGGATGGCACAGCTCCTCTTGGAGAAAAGTCTCCCATGCTAGCACTTCTGTTGTATAAAAGTGCAGCAAAAAAATCCCTGCAGTTGCTGCCATATTGCTGTTTGTATGTTTGTTTGTTTTTTCTGCATCTGTACGTTTGGGATGTGGAGCTAAACTGAAATTAAACTAAATTTTCACAAAACTGTGTGCATGAAAAGAATAATTTATTGAAGCTGTAGTTTTTTTTAACTCCCACCTGACTTTTCATTCATGATGACGATATCAGACTTCACGTGTTTTAGAATAATCGCCCCACTTGTCTCGATCCCTGATGTCAGCAAATCTATACAACATATTGCGCTCCCTACAGAAGCAGAGTGTGGAATAAAAGTGTGCACGTTTAATATCTGAGTGCATGTTTGTTTCTCACAGCTCGGTCCGTGGACTTTAACAGGCTTGTCGCGTTTCAGAGAGTGCGAGCATTGCTGACACACACACTTTTTCCCACAGAAGGTCACTTTGTCTCCAATTGGGAATGGGCGCCTGAGAACACACATATAAATAAATAAATAAATAAATAAATAGAAACTATATCTGTACTTTCAGAGAAGAGAATACATTCATAATCAGAATGAATGTAGTCTTTAAGCTCCAGTTGGACGGCGTTGGACTGAGTGAATAAGAGTGAATATGATAACCTAGCTAGTCATGTGTAAATATAATGTAGCCACGACCCATAGACAGAGCTCAGTCAAGGATGGAATCTGTTGTCTTTTAAACTGTCTCCGCGCTAGGACCAATCAGAGCAACAAACGCTTTCATGGCTATTTAGAACTCAGTCAGTGACAGTCCACCAGACACCGTCAAAGTAGAAGATGGAGAAGTTCCTCAATCTGCTCATGTCTCAAAGGAAAGCCCAAGTCTACATCGTCTAAAGTTGATGCCAAAGCAGTTTTAAATGAGCGCTGTTCCTGAGCCTCCATCATAGTTTTGCATCTCGGCCGTATTTGTAAAAAATAAATAAATAAAAGCTCTGCCGTAACGGTGGTAAATCCACCTATCATCTCTGTACAAACATAGCGCACTGTGATTGGCCCGACCTAAACTAAGCTAAACCAATGGCAGACCTGCTGAGGCTACAATGAAGCATGACTAGACCGACCTGCAGAACTAAATCTTTAAAACTGCAGCGGTTTGTCTGCATTTCTAGGCTATGATCCCGATGCCATAGGATATTTTTGTTTTGTTCAAAAGTTCCGGCTCACAGATCTTATAGGTGGTATAAGGACTAATCACCTCCTTCAATCAAAGAAAATGTTAAAACCTGTATCTGTAACCTCAAACAGCAAGTGGTGTTTGTAGAAAATGTTCTGAATGATGATCACATATGTGAAACTCACAAAGGAATCATATAAAAATGTGCTTTGCCTGTTTGTTGTGCAGCTTGCTCACACACGAACACACTTACTTACCTGCAGACGCTGCAGACAAAACAATGCGGGTGGTAGGTCCTCCCCAGAGCCGACACCACCTCTCCAGTGATGTACTGGTCACAGCTGTCACACTGAGTCCCGTAGAGCCGCTGGTAGTCCTCCGTACAGATATACTCTCCAGAATGATGGAAGAAACCAGAGTGCACCAAGTCACAGCCGCACACTAGACAACAGAGAGAACTACAGTAGATCACATTCATGATAACAGTTAGGGAAACAAAAATGTATAAAATACATAAAACTGTTTGACAAGTGCAGCTTGTATTTATGCATAATAATAATAATCATTGTAAAATTAATATTTCTGTGTGATTGCTTATCCAAAAACATAAACATATGACGATCCATGCAATCCTAACATGATAAACAAAGACAATATCTTCCACAAGATGTGAAGGATGGCTGAAGAGAGAGGAAAAGTCTGAATGCGGAGACGGCAGTGTCTCCATCCTGGCTTGCTGTGTTGTCTTACTGTCAGTATTTTATCTTGTGTTACCAGCTCCAAGTTATATATATATATATATATATATATAGTTATATATATGTATATTGATAGGTAATTTTAATTTTATCCCATATTACCTTAAAGGACGACACACCCGGAGAGAGAGAGTAAATTGATTATTTGTAATGTCCATGTGCGCGGCTCAACATGCGAGAAGCTGGACGCAACCAACCAGCCCCAGCCCCTACTCAGCCCACCAGCTCTGCATGCCCGCATCCTCCACCAATATGTTAGGTAATATTTAATCTCCATAACCCTGGAACCTGAAATAAACACTCTTGACAACATGGAAGACATTTTACCCTGAGTCCCCAAAATAAAAGAGAGTTAACGCAGGGAAAAACCTCCTCCGAGGCTTTTCCCCCGTCACTCCCAAGTCTCCTCAGTTTCCCAGGGGCTTTATTCAGAAAAGGATGGAGAAGGCGGGGCCTTCTCAGGTTACAGAGGTACAGAGGTTTCCTTGGAAATCCGCAATCAACATCCTTGACTGCAAACGAGCTTCTCTGCTCAACCTTTCATGAACAGCCACAGTTGGCAAACACAGAGATTCATGAAGTGTTAATAACACAAAATGGGCATCTTTTAGGCCTCAAAAAGGTACAATTATAAAAATACCCAACATATATATATCGTGGTGGAGGAGTTTGAGTGCCCTAATGATCCTAGGAGCTATGTTGTCTGGGGCACTTAGTGCCCCTGGTAGGGTCTCCCATGACAAATTGGTCTTAGGTGAAGGGTGAGACAAAGAACGGTTCGAAGGATCTTTCATGGCGGTTAAAATGAAGAGTCGGAGTACCCGGCCCGGAGGGTTACCGGGGTCCCACCCTGGAGCCAGGCCTGGGGTTGGGGCCCGTGAGCGAGCGCCTGGTGGCCGGGCTTTCGCCCATGGGGCCCGGCCGGGCCCAGCCCGAACCGGATACATGGGCTCGTCCAACTGTGGACCCACCACCCGCAGGAGGAACATGAAGGGTCCGGTGCAATGCGAATCGGGTGGCAGACCAAGGCGGGAGCCTTGGCGGTCCAATCCCCGGACAAGAAAACTAGTTTTTGGGACATGGAACGTCACCTCGCTGGTGGGGAAGGAGCCGGAGCTTGTGGCAGAGGTTGAGCGGTACCGGCTAGATATAGTCGGACTCACCTCGACACATTGCATTGGCTCTGGAACCCGAGACCTGGAGAGGGGTTGGACACTCTACTTTGCTGGAGTTGCTCCGGGTGAGAGGCGGAGGGCTGGGGTTGGCTTTTTGTTAGCTCCGAGACTCTCTGCCTGTGTGTTGGGGTTTACCCCGGGGGACAAGAGGGTAGCTTCCTTGCGCCTTCGGGTCGGGGAACGGGTCCTGACTGTTGTTTGTGCTTATGGGCCAAATATCAGTTCAGAGTACCCACCCTTTTTGGAGTCCCTGGGACGAGTGCTAGATAGTGCTCCATCAGGGGACTCCATTGTCCTGCTGGGGGACTTCAATGCTCACGTGGGCAATGACAGCTTGACCTGGAGGGGTGTGATTGGGAGGAACGGCCCACCTAATCTGAACTCGAGCGGTGTTTTGTTATTGGACTTCTGTGCAAGCCGCAGTTTGGCCATAACGAACACCATGTTCGAACATAAGGATGCCCACCGGTACACTTGGTACCAGGGCAGCCTAGGTCACAGGTCGATGATAGATTTTGTAGTCGTATCATCTGACCTGCGGCCGTATGTTTTGGACACCCAAGTGAAGAGAGGGGCGGAGCTGTCAACTGATCACCACCTGGTGGTGAGTTGGATCAGATGGCAAGGGAACATGCCGCGTAGACCTGGCAGACCCAAACGCATAGTGAGGGTCTGCTGGGAACGCCTGGCAGAAGAACCTGTCAAGACGGTCTTCAACTCCCACCTCCGGCAGAGCTTTGACCACGTCCCGAGAGCAGTGGGGGACATTGAGTCCGAGTGGGCCTTGTTCCACTCTGCGATTGTCGAGGCGGCTGTTGCTAGCTGTGGCCGTAAGGTGGCCGGTGCCAGTCGTGGTGGCAACCCCCGTACCCGCTGGTGGACACCAGAGGTTCGGGGAGCCGTCAGGCTGAAGAAGGAGGCCTACAGGGCGTGGCTGGTCTGTGGGTCTCCGGAGGCAGCAGACAGGTACCGGATAGCCAAGCGGGGTGCAGCAGTGGCAGTTGCCGAGGCAAAATCTCGGGCGTGGGAGGAGTTTGGTGAGGCCATGGAGAAAGACTATCGATCGGCTCCAAAGAGGTTCTGGCAAACTGTCCGGCGCCTCAGGAGAGGAAGGCAGCAACTCGCTCACACTGTTTACAGTGCTGCTGACGTCAACTGAGGCTATAGTCGGACGGTGGAAGGAATACTTTGAGGAGCTCCTCAATCCCACCAATGCGCATTCCGAGGAGGAACCAGAGCTGGGAGGCCTGGGGATGGACTGTCCGATCTCGGGGGCAGAAGTTGCTGAGGTAGTCAAACAACTACACAGCGGCGGAGCCCCGGGGGCGGATGAGGTTCGTCCTGGGTATCTCAAGGCTATGGATGTTGTAGGGCTGTCATGGTTGACACGTCTCTACAACATTGCGTGGTCATCGGGGGCAGTTCCTAGGGAGTGGCAGACCGGGGTGGTGGTCCCCATCTTTAAGAAGGGTGACCTGAGGGTGTGTTCCAACTATAGGGGGATCACACTCCTCAGCCTCCCTGGAAAGGTCTACTCCAAGGTACTGGAGAGGAGGGTCCGATCGATAGTTGAATCTCAGATAGAGGAGGAGCAATGTGGTTTTCGTCCTGGCCGTGGATCTGTGGACCAGCTCTATACCCTTGCAAGGGTGATGGAGGGGGCATGGGAGTTTGCCCAACCAATCCACATGTGTTTTGTGGATTTGGAGAAGGCTTATGACCGTGTCCCCAGGGGCACCCTGTGGGGGACGCTCCAGGAGTATGGGGTGGGTGGCTTTCTGTTAAGGGCCATTCAGTCCCTTTACCAGAGGAGCGTGAGTTTGGTCCGCATAGCCGGTAGTAAGTCGGACCTGTTCCCAGTGAGGGTTGGACTCCGCCAGGGCTGCCCTTTGTCACCGGTTCTGTTCATCACTTTTATGGACAGAATTTCTAGACGCAGCCGTGGTGTGGAGTGTGTCAAGTTTGGTGGCAGGAGAATCTCGTCTCTGCTTTTTGCGGATGATGTGGTCCTCCTAGCTTCATCCAGCTCTGACCTTCAGCTCTTGCTGGGTAGGTTCGCGGCCGAATGTGAAGCGGCTGGGATGAGGATCAGCACCTCCAAATCTGAGACCATGGTTCTCGACCGGAAAAGGGTGGCTTGCCACCTCCGGGTCGGGGGAGAGGTCCTACCTCAAGTGGAGGAGTTTAAGTATCTCGGGGTCTTGTTCACGAGTGAGGGTAGGAGGGATCGGGAGATCGACAGGCGGATTGGTTCGGCGTCTGCAGTGATGCGGACGCTGAGCCGATCTGTCGTGGGGAAGAGGGAGCTGAGCCAGAAAGCCAGGCTCTCGATTTACCGGTCGATCTACGTCCCAATCCTCACCTATGGTCATGAGCTTTGGGTAATGACCGAAAGAACGAGATCGCGGATACAAGCGGCCGAAATGAGTTTCCTCCGTAGGGTGGCCGGGCTCAGCCTTAGAGATAGGGTGAGGAGCTCGGACATTCGGGAGGGACTCGGAGTAGAACCGCTGCTCCTCCGGATCGAAAGGAGCCAGTTGAGGTGGTTTGGGCATCTGGTCAGGATGCCTCCTGGACGCCTCCCCGGGGAGGTGTTTCGGGCATGTCCTGCCGGCAGAAGGCCCCCGGGTCGACCCAGGACACGTTGGAGAGGTTACATCTCCAATCTGGTCCGGGAACGCCTTGGGGTCCTGCCGGAGGAGCTGGTGGACAAGGCCGGGGAGAGGACGGCCTGGAGCTCCCTAGTTGGGATGCTGCCCCCGCGACCCGGACCCGGATAAGCGGAGGAAGACGAGACGAGACGATAATGGCAGGCAGAATTCTTGGCGATGGTCAGGCGTGGAAACGAGGTCGAGAGACTATCCATCAGGCAGGATGACAAAAGGCTGGAAGCTCTACTAGCAGAGACGTTCAATAGTCTGGCAGAGCGCTAGTGGTTGACTGTGGAAGCTGGTGAGGCAGGTGTGTGGCATGAGCTTGATGGTGAGTTGACTGTGGTTGCTGGGGAAACAGGGCTTGGCTGGAGCTTGATGAGGGGACCAGGTGTGATGCATGACGGCTGATGAGGTGAATGATGGTGCATGGAGGTCAGGGCATGGCAGGATCATGACAGTAGATACCACAAGTATATTCAGAAGGAGGTCAGATCTTCTTCCATCATGTACTAACTTCAGTGAAATAGCTGTTTAGAAAAAATATGATCAATTTTCAACTAATTGATAAATGAGAAACGTTTTAGAAAGTTTTTCCACTTATTTTTACCTTTTGGGACTGAGATAAAGCTCATTTGTGTCCATAGAAAATTAGATGCATTTAAGTACTTTTACATAGTCTGCATTTTGTGACAGTCCTGAAGAAAAGTGAGTGCTGTGTGTTTACTACAAGTATTCTGACAAGGTGATGAATGACTTTTATTTAGCAAGTGCAGTTCTCCAGCCAAATCCTTTTTTCTGGTCCAGATGATCCATCATTGAGGAGGCCCCTGCTCTGCTGGATGGTTAAACAGTTT